AATATTGTATTTACTATCAAACAAATCAAAATTTGTATTATTACATGTTTTTAAAGATGACGATCTGTTAATTCGCCGTATGTATGTACGAGTTATGTATTTAATTGTTAAATACATGTTTTAAAAAAAAATTAAATTCCGCTGCGTATAGCTCGTACGGTACAGGCGAACCCAACAGGCAGACAACTGATACCTCATTTTCTGGCCTATTTTCATAGTGGTTGAGAGTGGGGGAAGACTTGGGACCGAATTTCCAGCCTAAAAATATGCTAATGATGCTAAGGAAGATGATCTACTCACTCTCTTCAAGTCTCTATATATCTATCATCATCCAACATCATTTGGCAACCCATAATTCACCATTTTTTCACCTTCCATGCATGCTTGAACCAAGAGGGGTTCTTCCCCTCTTCCCTCTTCATTTTCTTCTTCTTTTTATTTTCTTTTCTTTTTATTGTATGTTGTATTTGGGGAGAGTTTTTTTAAGCTTGAGATGATTCATGTAACATTCTAATATTTAATTCCTCTTCTTAAATACTTGTCTTGAGAAAGAAGTGTTTAGGAGAAGGAATTTTGGAGAAGTTTGTATTTTATTTGGTGTACATTTATTCTCGGTTTGGCGTTTGTATCAACCTTATTCATCAACTTGGATTACTTGTAAGTTGTTCTTCTTGTAATGATAATTTGCAATGAATCTTATGTTTAGTTTATTTTTGATATGAATAATTAAATCATTTGCTAGGGATAGGGATGAATATTTGATTTCGTATGTGATTATCGTACTCGTCGATTGTTCATTTTGTATAAGTTAATTCTAAATTCAATTGTTGATTTTTACTTTGGAATGACATATTGTTGAAAAGTGACAATTCAACCTTGCAATTGATTTCTAAGTATTGAAGAGTGACACTTCAATGTTAAACTTGTTTTCAAATTGAATATGATGTGTTTATTGTGACGATCACGATCCGAATAGACTAGATGACTAAAAATCCTATAGTCTATTTTAATTGACTCTTGAACCGAAAGGGGAAAGGTCAATCGATCGAGACTTATACAAAATAGACATAATCCGAAATGTATTGTCTATGTGTTAAACAACTCGTTAATTTACCGTTTATATTTATTCTCATAATCCGAAAGGTATTGAGGATGAGCCTCTAAACGTGTAGGTGACTCGAACTCTTTAACCGAACTATCACGAGACGATGATTGCATTTAGATTCAAAACATTTATTCCCGATTTCCTAGCATCTTTATCTTTGTGTCATTTATATTAGTTAGATTATTGTTTTATGTTATTATTTCAGTTAATCATTTTCCAAACATATCAAGATTAGAATGTTTAGGTTTTATTTTCCATTCTTGTGATTCTGACACCAATACTAGATTCCGAACAGTCTTCCTCGAGAGATCGACCCGGGAAACGAATCATTTGATTCGGTGCTCGGTAAAATAAAAATAATTTGCTACAACATATGGATCAGTATCTTGGTCGTATTTGTGAAATTATTGAAGCAATGGGTGCAAAATCTGAAAATACAATGCAGGAATGCATTAAAATACTAAATGAGATGTGTGCCATACCTAAAGGAAGTGAGCTTTATCTGTTTGCCTGCAGATAGGGGATTTATTTATTGCTCTCGGGGATTCCGAACTAAGGTTCTTGTGGCTTCAAGATGAAAAGGCGCAACATGATAGGACTTTTAATAGGATATATTCTTTGTAGATTAAATTTGGAACAATTTAAATTCTCTATTGGTAATCTTATTTTGTTGTCTTTTATTTTATTTTTCTTTTTTTATTATGTCAAGTTAATGCTTTTTAGTTAGTATGTTGAATATATTTCAAAATCATAGTTCATTTGACATCATTTTCCATTTCAGTTTGTTTATGCCTATGTTAGCAATTCAAACTATAAAATATAGTAGTTATGTTGATTATTTATTTTTTTTTAACTCAAGTAGATGCTCATCTCTCTCCTTTTATTCTAATTACTGTTTATCATGATTTTTTCTAATGTTGGATTTGTATTATAGGATCATGGACAACAACGAGGATAATGAATACAATGAATTAAAAGATGTTGCGACAACGGGATTAGTTAGTGTTATGGTTGGTAAAATAATTTCTTATTATGGGAATCATATAGTGAAGGAGCCCTGTAGGGATTCAATGTATCGTGGTCATAGATTTGTTATGGATATTTTAAATGGTCGTCATATACGGTACCATGAATTGTTTAGAATAGAAAAGCATGTATTTTGGAGGCTCTTGTTAGAACTTCGAGGAAGGAATTTACTTAAAGATAGCAGAGAGGTCACCGTTGAAGAACAGTTAGCTATCTTTCTAATGACTATCGGGCACAATGAAAAAAATTGAATGCTACAAGAGCGCTTTCAACACTCGAGAGAAACCATAAGTCGTCATTTCAATACAATGCTACAAGCCCTTTTAAAATTTTATATGGAAATGATTGTTCCACCGTTACTTGATGAAGTACCAAGGTACATACGCAACAATCCTATATATTGGCCTCACTTCAAGGTAATTGTCATGTATGTTTAATAAATTATTTTACTGTTAAATAAGTTACTGACTCTTACTTGCTTCGTTCTCTAATTTTCCGATTATTAAATAGGGGTGTATCAGTGCAACTGATGGAACACATGTGAATGCAGTCATTCCAACTGATGAACAACTTGCTTAGCGTGGGAGAAATGGTGAATGCATCCAGAATGTAATGGCAGCATGCTCGTTTGACATGTGATTCTCTTTTGTTTGGGCATGAAGGGAAAGATTTGCTCATGATTCTCGTATATTCAATGAAGCTATCCATAGGCCAAATTTGAAGTTTCCAATGTCTCCCAGAGGTTAGTACACTCTCATTTTCCTTTATCTTTCTATCTATCCCTCCTTATACGATAAAATCCATTAATAGGCAAATACTATGTTTTCGATGTTGGATATCTCAACATGCCTGAGTTTTTGGCTCCTTAAAAAGGCACACGATATCATTTAAGTCAATTTCGAAGAGGGCAACGTGCAAGTGGACCAAAAGAATTGTTTAATTACTCTCAATTATCACTACGAAATGTAATTGAACGTTGCCTTGGAGTATGATTCTTAAAAAAATGGTCAAGTTTCCTTTTGAAACTCAAAGACTAATTGTCGTTGCTTCGATGGCATGCATAATTATATAAGACAAGAAGCGATAGCAGATGAAGAATATAAATGTTATGATGAAGATGAAGATTATGTTAGCGATGATGAAGAATTAGATGTAGACTCAGAGGATCATTATGGTGAAATTAATGGTCTGATGAATGATCAACCGAGTCAGGAAATGAGCATTCTATATGATGCTATAGCCGATTTAGTGTATCGTGCTACATGATGTTAACTATCTTTTATGTCTATACTTTTTTCGATTTATTTTTGAATACATTATTGGTTATTCCGATTCAATGTACGGGAAAATTGGTCTAATATATTTTGCATAATTTTGTTTCTTTTAAATCAATAATCATATAACATTATATGCTCAAAATAATGACATACAAAAATATTTGTGTATCATTTTGATAAAGGTAAAAAAAATATGAAAAACTTAAGTATCAATATATTTAAATGGTTCATAGATAATATCTATATTTAAGATCACCATAATATAACATTAATCATATGTAATAGGTAGAAAATTTTTACGGGTAAAAAATATTATTATTTAGTGACTAAAGCACTTATTTAAAATGAGATTCACCAAACTTATGTGAAAGTTGTGTAAGGACTTTTGTAAATGCACATGATGAAAAGTCCATTTTTAAGATGAACTTTTGCAGAATAAGTTCTCCCAAACTAACACTCCAAATGGAGAACATGCACTTCCACAAGAGGAGATTAACAAAAAACAAAAAAATACAAAAAACACAAACGACAAAAATAAAAACACCTTACTTACAACTAATAAAATAGAATAATACCTCTCATACTTCTCGCGAGCAAACAACAAATGTCACACAACCCAACACAATGACCAGTCCCCAAAACTAAAAACAAAAAGAGAACTGACGATCTAAGAAACTATGGACTGGACTCGAACGACTAACCAAATTTGGCAAGGAGAAAAACTTGCGCCTAGATCTGACCCTTAAAGAAGTTTCAAGCCAGAAAAGCGGAAAAAAATGAAATAGACATCTCGAAGCCTAACAAGAAGAGCGATAATTGCCGGTCTGAGCCCAAGGCTGGAAAAAGGGGCGAGGCAAAGGAGCCCAATTCCACCTAGTCACAAACTTAGATTTGTTGGCAGTTCACACGTAATAGTATTTTAATTTTGCTCTTATACCCTATGTTTCTCTTTAATAATTTGTGAAATATGACATGAATGTCAATTTTAACCCTCATTTCCAATGTATTTTGTATGCTTCTTGCTTTTCTAATTTTAGGTCATATCCTATATTCATTTTTCCGTTTCTCATTTTTTTCCTCTCCCTAGTTGTTTTCTCCGACTATTTAAATAAAAAAAAAAAAAC